CTTCTGAAAGGATTACCATAATCATCTTAACTAAGTATATAGATGTTCGACTTTATCAATGCATATCATAAGAACCTCTTGACAATGAAGCAAAGCCAATCCTTTTGAGGTTTAATGTTTTAAAGAAGTGGACTGAGTGATACAACAGTAGGACTCGTAATGCAAGAAGGAAATTATGGAGAAGGGAATAAGAGAAAAGAAATACCTCTTCTTCCCCAAGAAATTTTGTCTCCAATTTCTCAGAGTTTGGTAGTATTGAATTCCTATGTTCTCCACATGCTCCACACTGGTTCAATTAATACAGCTTCTCTTAGTTTTGTAGATAAAGATACATAAATAAAGTTTAATGCCATCATTTGTTGGGCTTATAGTAACTACAGGATATCAAAATTATATGGGGATTATTTACCAGAGTCTTGATGCAGCAGCCATAGCTGATGTTATCCTACTTAAGGAAGGCAGGCACCCACCAGGAAAAATGTATTCCTTGATAAAATCTGAACTTAGCCTGTACCCTTCATAGCGTTCATCTGGTATGGATATGAACTGTAAACAAATTATGTTAGCAATGTACAGAACCTGAAACATATAGGGTACAAATTATTCTGGCCAAATACTGAAAATCAGCACAGCACCTCAAAGGTATATCATAACTTATACAAGTAAAAATATTATATTTGTTCTCAATTTGTTGTTACCTGTAGAACAAGAAGCCCGTCTTCTGCTAATACTGAGTCACAGCAACCAAAAAAGTCCTCCATGTATTTATGGCCAACATGTTCTATCATCTCACTGGAAATGGAAAGTGTGAATTTTTTTCGTTAAGTGTTTGGCATCTGATGTTGCCAGGTGTAAAGAAGGTGCTCAAAGAACCAACTTACCATGACATAGCTGATCAAAAAAGAAAAAAAGGAAAAAAAAACTTACCATGATATAATTCTGTCATATTTGTGAGTGTTGGGCAATTGGCGGTAGTCACAGAGTTGAAATTGAATGTGATCCTGGTAGGGCAATTGGCGGTAGTCACAGGAAACTTAACAAAATATTCCCAATTCAATAGAATCTCTGCTGTGTTTTCTCAAGTAAATTTGTCTCTTTATTATTATTATTATTTTTTGAACGTTATCTGAAACAGTAAATTTGTCTAGTAGATACCTGAAGTCCAGCTTCCTGTACTTTCATTTCTGCATATTTTAGTTGCTCCTGAGATAAACTGATGCCAGTGTATCTGCATCCTGTTTGTTTCACCACCTCAATAGCAAAACTTCCCCAACCACATCCAATATCAAGAATCTCGTGCTCATTGTTAATTCTTGCCTGGATTAATTACAAGGAAATTTTGATTAAGGATTGAATATGGCAAGAAAAACATGACACACAAATTAGTTTGCGACTGTTTCTTTCCAAGGACCAACCTTTTCAATCAGAAGAGAGAATTTCCTCTGTTGTGCAACTTTTAGTTCCTCATTTTCCTTCTATAAAATGAATGAAATAGTTTAGCAATTAAAAGAAAGTTTGCGCCAAATTACACACTGAACCCAAGAAAACCAAAAAAGTTTCTTTCTTTAATGAAACATAATCATAGTCATTATGAGTAACGAGTCTCACCTCAAACACAGCACAGGAGTATGCCATTGTTTCACCCAAGAATAGAGCAAAAAGTTCATTGTTCTAGGAGCAGAATTGGAAGAGAAATCAGCTTTTATTTGGAATAATCCAGCAATAAGCAGTACTTATAAATCTAAGATTAAGAGGCTGACTTCAAAGTAAAATAAGGAAATTATAAAAGGAACAAAAAGTATCCATTTGCATCTTTAGGTGGTTTGTTTCTGAATTTATACAGACAATTGAATTAGGAATTTAAAGGTATAATCTCATACCAAGTCATAGTGACGAGAAATGTTCCTGCGAGCTTGTGTGAGAGTGTTTTGCCTTAAAAGATGCTTGAAGAAAAAATTTGCAGATGTTAAACCAGCTGCAAAAAACATTGGTGTCCACCAACCCCTAAAATCCAAAGCATTAGCTACTAAATAAACTGAGTTTGTGAGAAGAATAAGATAATACCCAAATTCTTGTGGTGTAGGATTTACTGTAAACCTTTTCTTACTAAGTTTGGAGATGGATGAATTCCAATCTCTGCTGGCAATGAGAATCTACATTCAGTGAGGAAACTTCATGAAAATAAGTACAGGTTTAACTATGTAACAAGCTTTGATAAATAATCTTACCATAATGAGATTTAGAAGACCTTCATTGTTGTCGACAAAAGAAAAATCTCCATTGATATATGCATCTGCAAGACCTAGATCTGCCTGAGTCATAACCTAACAAAACATTTTGGTGCTTGTCAGTACGTTTAATATCAAATGCATAACAATTTCGTTCCTCTAAATTTTGCTAATATGTTATGTTGTTTGAATTTCAACAATCCCTCCATGCTCTGCTATGTTATATTGATCTTAAAGGCTGTTAACATAGATCAGGAGCATGTACCTTCCAGTAAAACTGGGGATTGTGCACTTTCATAACAGTTTTCAGAGAGCATTTTGTGTTGTTTCCTTCAAAGGTAAAAATTGTGCCACCTTCCTCAAATAAACTAGTCATGTGAAACCAAGAGTATTTTCAATGAATTAAAACCAAACATGAAAAATAGGAACTAATTATAGATGAGTAAAAGGAAGCCAAGTTAACTTGAAGCTTTATGCTAATGTATGCAATAGGCAAGGAAAAATGTTTGACATAGTTGAACAGGAAATCACAAGTGAAGCAAAAGTGCGAAACCCATGGA